CATCATCCTTTTCATGGAAATATTGTCCGTATACGGCACTGAACTCCTCATCAACACTCATGTTTCATTTCATGCGAAATGCGAAGACGATAATCAACAGAAACAGTAAACGTCACTTCTTCAGTGTTACTTTTTTAAATGTTCCACACTAGCAACTTACACGATGAACTATAATAATATTCCGACCAACAACAACACTTACTGGACCAACAACAACACTTACTGGACCAACAACAACACTTACTGGACGTCCGGCGCGGAGAACAATTAACGAGATAATGAGAAACTGACGAAACGAGTTGCTTACTTTTAACAGCTTTTTGACAGAAAACTAGTTTTCGCACGTAAGCTCCCTTTTCGTAGACCAGGTCACATATTAAAATTTGACAGCCAGTGTAGAAATACATCTATATTTGTAAATTTATCGATTAAAACTGTCGAGTTATCGATGGCAATAGCATTATCGATGCAATATCAATAAAATCTTTAGGTTATCGTTACTAAACTCATCAGAATTGAATTATGTGTTCCGTGATCGAATCGGCAATCGTATGAAAATATTTAACGTGACTGATCGTATGCATGGCAATATTGGAATTATATATTGGAACGTATGTCACGTTCTCTGGCGTATCGTAACTTTTTGCAGATTGTAATAAATTCCCGGTGAATTGTTATAGAAATTTTGACAATTTGTCCACCTCTTTTTACTGATTTTAATGGTGTAAACCATTTTTGGTTAAAATTAATAGGGGTGGAGCTAGAGAGGTAAAGGTGGGATTTTCAATATTTTTAAAAGATTGTATGTATATCGAAAACTGTTGGATCGATTTTCAAAGTGTGGATCGGGTTTGATAGATAATTTAAAAGCGTTTTATTTTGTATACCTACTTATACATATATTATATACATATTTTGAAAAAAATAACCAAATTATAATCATTTTTTAATAAAAATGTACGTTTTATATATAAAAAATACGTAATTAACTACAGTATCGGTCATATCTATAGCACGCCATTTCAAAGTGATATTGTGTGCAACTTATGTTTATTTATTTATTTTTGAGAATTTTCAATTAAAATACAGTTCTTTCTCTAACAAACCCCATGTAAACCCAAGTTTAACAATTTGTAGAAAACTTCAAAAAAGTGCAACGAATTTTCACCTAATTTTCAAACTTTTTTCTCAGAAGTGTTTGAATTTTTCTGAATACACAGTTTTATAGCCCAATCAATTTTAGTGTGATAATGTGCAAGTTTCAAGTGACTGAAAGTTACCGTTGATTTTTTAGAATTTTTTTTCCCCAAAAGTGTTGCGGTTTTCCTCCATATACAAATAAATTGAGTTTATTCATTATATGGAAGCCAATGCGACAAAAGAAATTCTAAAAAATTAACGGTACTTCGTAGCCACTTGAAATTTGCACATTATCAGACTAAAATTGTAGGGGCTAAAAAACTGTGTACTCGAAAAAAATCTAACAATTCCGAGAAAAAAGTTTGAAACATAGGTGAAAATTTGTTGCACTTTTTTGAAGTTTTCTACAAATTATTAAACTTGGGTTTATATGGGGTTTATTAGAGAAAGAACTGTATTTTAATTGAATATTCTTAAAAATAAATAAATAAAAATAAGTGGCACACAATATCACTTTGAAATGGCGTGCTATGCTATAGATATGACCGAAGAATACCATTTTTAAAAAGTACATAAAAATACCTTTAATTTGTTTTATGCTATGTTGCAAAAATTCTTTTGCGTAGCGGACCTTCGGCCGCGCTTAGAGATTATAACCAGTGTTGCCGTTTTAGTCCATTGGTGGCTACCACCTGCTTTTTTTGGCCACATAAATTTGGAGAATTTATTCATACTTAGGGTGAAATAGTTTTATGTGCTTAATTTGATCTCTTTTTTTCATTTATGTAAGAGATGAATTTTTTTAAAGTACTTTGGCTACCACTAAAAATTATTCGCGGCAACACTGATTATAACCCTTACTACTCAGAATTCTCCTTTGTGTGTTGCCAGAAGAAAGGGGCAGAACTTCTCTCTGCGTAGGCGGCCTTCAAAAATTTAATTTTATATAAAAATATTGTTTTATATAAAAAATCGTCGCAGGCAAACATTTACAGTTGTTTATTTCACTGTCGGTGGATGCGCTTAAACCTAACTATATAATATTATTTATCAATTTAAAGGTATTTCTCTGTTCTTTCTAACAAAAACATCAACAAATATAGTTAATTACGTATTTTTTTTAGAAAAACGTACGTTTTTATTAAAAAATTTTCATAATTTGGTTTTTTTTTTAGTTTCTCTAGAAATATGTATAAAAGATATATAAAGATATGCATATAAATAAGACAAATGTATGTCTATCAATAAATTTTTCAACCATATCCACATTTTGAAAATCAGTGCAATAGTTTTGGAAATGTAAGCTTTTGAAAATATTGAAAATTCCACCTCTATCTCCGCACCTATTAACATGCACCAAAAAAAATTACACCTTTCAAATCAGTAGAAGGGAGCGGACCACGCCCACTTTTAATTTTTGTTTTATTTCAACGATTTCTCGAAGACATTGAATTGGACAGTAAATTGGACAATTCGGTCACGTCTTGGCCAATTTGAGAATAAGAGGGAAGACAAAATGGCAAAAAATCGCAGTATTATGAAAAAGGTTCATGTTTGAATATTATAACAAAATAAAATAAATAACATGAAATCCGCGCAAAACGATTCTAACGGCGGTTGCTGAAAAGTGTATTGTCCTTTTAATTGTCTGGACGCCTACTTTACACAACAATTTGACAACTAATACATATTCTCAATTGTATTGTCCCAAATTGTCTTATGTAAACGCAGCGTTAAAGCAACCCTCTTGCTTTGCCACAACATGCGTAAGTAGTTTTGAATGTAAAACTTGTTGCTTGAATTTATATTAATAATAATAGTTATTTTAAATAATATATATTTTGAAAAAATTGGGATGGACTTTCATAAAGTCGTCCATTATGCTTTTCTGATGCTGGTAAATTTTAATTAGGTGTGCTAAGATTTAACAAAATTTCGTTATTTCAATATAACATACATATTATTTCTACAAATTTAAATTTTACGTACAATTTTCTGTTTCGTACTTTTTAATTTGCGTGTATTAACGGCTGTGTGCAATCGAATGAAAATGATTGACGATTACAATATTTGGAGTACGCCACATAGAATGTATTCTGATGTGTTTCTGAAAGATTAATTTTACTGAGGTAGTTTGAGCTTTCCTCTGCCTTACTTAAAGAGTTACTATAAAGCTTCGATTCAAGGACAAATAAATCGCTTGGCTTACCTCTGTCATTGAGATTCCATTCAATGCCTATTGAACATTTTGTTTACCTTTATGTATGCTTCGGTGAGCCCACGTAAGGGTTCCGAAACGTAATATATTGTTGTAGCTCCAGGTTTTGCTAGATAGTCTTCCTCCTCCCTTCTTCTTCGGTGCCCACCCTAGATGACTAGGTTAGGTTGGGTTAAGTTGTCATAGTTGTCTATGAGACACACTTAGGCTCAGGGCCTATTGTGATGCCGCATATGGGGTCAGCAACTGCCAATCTCTCTTGAAACCATTTTGAATTGCGTAGGAATTTAAGAAGATCCCTGATTTCCACGCATCTAAGGTCCTCCAAGTGGTACTAAAAGTGAAGGGTCTTCGGCTGGATAGAGCAGGGACTGGCACAACAACATCTTGACAGCCTCTACAGAAGTCATGTAAACGTAGGCCAAGTTGATAGGCATGCTTGCCAATTAGGCAATAATCCAATGTTTAGGCTCAGTAGTAGGAACTGTGCGTTTGCGCTGAACACCGGCCGCAATTGCTTGGCAGTTTTGCAGATTTCGTCATGCTATCTGTCGTTCGCTACTTTAGTACTTCTCTCGGCGATAAATAGCTTAAAATTTTGTAAGGGTATTCCTATTTCGTCGTTTATATCCCCAAAAGGAAGTTTTTTGCCAAGTTGCACCAGTTCAGCGACCTTACCCCCATATCACCTTTGGGCGAAATGAAAGAGATGTGCGTCATTTCATGGCTACCATGTTGACTGCTTCGTGAGGGATTTTATTAGCGCCTAGCTGTCAGTGAAGATATAGATATCTATATCGATAAAAAAAACTTACTCTGTCAATAAGTATGCCTGTAAAACGATAATAAACACGCTATTATATAGATATTGATATATATGTCGATAACAGTAATATTATCGATAATCAAATAAAATTATAACTCTAAATATGGAGGCCCAAGAAAAACGGAAGCAATACCGAAAACACTAGATATATCCATTGCAATAAAACTACCGATATGTAAAGGAAATTGGAGTTGATATTACTAACGATAACATTTTGAAAAATATATAACTATTATTAACACTATGCGAACGTTTTAAAGCAACCCGATTGATTTAAATTATATGTCCACTTTTACAATAGCCAAAAAGTTATGTCCGGTTTTCAACCAGCAAAAAAGTTTTTCGACGACCAAAACTATATGTCGAGGGTTTTGATGGCCAAAAATTTATGTTTAATTTTTAGATTGAAAAAACTCAGCTTTTCAGATAAACAAAAACTTACTTTAATTATTTTGGGTGTCCATAAATTAATGTCCATTTATCAAATGAGCAAAAATTGATTCACATTTTTTAAGCGTCCAAAAATTTATGTCCGTTCATCAAATGGCCAAAAATTTATGCAGTTTTTATTTTCTAGGATTGATGTTAACCGGCTACTAAACTTTTTACGTTCTTTGTCGTTACAGGAAAACCCTGGTCTCATAGTACCATGGATAATTGGTTACATCACTTTCATGGCATTGGAGGCAGTGGCCATGGTCTACTCCAATGTTTTGCGAGATCATGTAAATAAGGTCAGTAAGTCGCTAATAAATACATAGCAAATAGCATCCGTTTGATACGATTATACCAACAACACAATTTAATGCATACAGCTACCAGCTCGCTTTCAGTTCATTCAGTTATTCATTTCACTTTCATTGACCAACTGCAACGAGGACGCCGAAAAGGGACTGACTTGCAAACGGAATATAATAACTTCAGATAACAATTTATTACTAACAAGCGCTGAAAAAAAAATCACATCGTAAAAATTTACATAATAATAAAAGTGGAATTGCGCCTCAGAAGAGGAGAGTAGCAAAATTTATGCGAATCAAGAAATTGCATAAATTTCTTTCTTCAACAACTGTGTCTATGTACAAATGTAGTACAACATTTTTTGTCCTAGAAACGCTTGGCAAAGGAGCGACGAATAGCTGCTTGCACTTGCTTTTGCTGATTATCGCACTTTCTGTTTGAATTTGCTTGTAATTTCTCGTTTATTTGTTTCTATGATTCACTTTTGGACTCAATGCCCTAACACTGCATTCGCATTGCAACGCTATTCTCGATTTCATTTGCAATTTTTTTTTTGCAGGATTTTTGTATTCATGGTCTGATTTTTAATGTAGCGAACTACAAACTCAAAGTGCGAAGTTTGTTTTTTATTTTTTTACAAAACATGCAAATCAGAAAGCATTTGAAATTGTAAAATTTAATAGCCAAAGTTTTCGTACAAAGTGTGTACACACTAAAAAGAAAACGAAACTGAATCATAAAACGCCGAGTCAAAATTTAATAAAAATGATAAGTAGAAACTTTCCACTTCCTAAGCTATTTTCAGCCATTTAAGCACTTCAAGTACTCTTTGAAATTGCAACCTTTGGTTTATTGCGTGTTTCGAACTTTTAAACGGCGTTACATACAGTGACTCAAACAAATGACCACATGTTGATTTTCGTCAAATATTCGTAATGTTTTTCGAGCTTAATTTTTTTGTTATTTTTATATAAAAATATCGCCTAAGCTTCAACCAAAACTGTGTAAATCCGAGTTTTAAACTTTATACACAGTTTAGAAAATTTCAAGGAATGTTCATTAAAATTTCAACTTTGTATTCTGAATTTTTAGAAAATTTTTGGGTATTAAGTGCAAGTTTAAAACAGCTAAAAAATCGCGTTGATTTTTGAGCATTATATTTTGTGACGGATGTTTGCGCTTATTTTCATATACGTATAAATTTCTTATGAAATAATACGCGGGAGACCGTCAGCAACAAAATTTGAAAATATCAACGAAAGTTTTTGTAAATTGCGCCTGTTATATTAAGAAACAAGAAAAAGTAGCCTAAATTTTGATGAAAATTTGTTGAATGTTCAAAATTTTGTGTAAAGTTTGTATAAAAATAACAAAAGATATAGTTCGAAAAACATTACGAATATTTGAAGAAGATCAACAAGTGGTCATTTGTTTGAGATTATATAAAAATAACAAAAAAAAAAATTAGCTGGAAAAATATTAAGAATATTTAAAAAAAACGCGTGGTATTTGATGGATTCACTGTATGTATTCTGCAAATATATGGTGATCTGCATGTACGAGCATCTGGTGGTTTGTGTATGTATGTGTATACGTATTAAATTTGTGATAATAAAAGTCCAGCCATAATAAAAACTTCAAAATCTTTTAACCTACTTTGTTCCAAAAATAATTTAAGCATACTCGTTTGCAAAGCCTCTTTTTGTGTAGGTGAAAATTTTATAATACGAGTTTAGGTTAGCTTAAGTTTGGTGCATCTCAGGTGGAAGCCTATGAAAACTTAGAGTCGCCTAAACTCCCCGAGCTAGGGAAGATATGCTTGCCCCTCTAACAACAAACCACCGGGACCGGACATAGCCCTTAAAGCAGCCATAAGGTTAAGAGGCCTTCTTCTTCTGAGTGTCAGCTTGATAGGAATAGGCGTCTTGGCGAATGAAATTACTCAGATATAAACTGTGGAAAGCAGTGGCAGGAAGACCAATCGACAAAAGGCCATTGGTCGAACAATTTGCTTGTGGGGAATTCTGCAGGCAGGATGAATGAATCCAGAGATTAAACGCAGATATTGATATTACAACTATTAATTAAAAGACGATGTGGATATTTATAGCATTCTCAATACCAATAGCAGATAGCCCTTATGATACCGGTAACGATATTTATGTTGATAATGATAAAATTTCAAATGCTTATATAATAACAATATCGATAATAAAACTCTGAATAAATAGAAAAATAAAAGCAAACGATAACAGTTTTGATGACACTATCAACACCGACAGCAAAAGCGTTATCGATTATTTTATTTTGTGAATCTGAGGACAGCTTTAGAATTTATTTTCTAGTTTTTCCCCCAAAATATTCGACTCCAAAAACATCACAATGGCTTTTTATTCACAAAATGAGATCTTTAATACATCTTTGTTTACATGGCTTCTTTATCGATAAGTTCGTTTCGAAAGCGCTTTTCATAGCTCCCTTGTTAGATCCGGAATCCGGACGTTTTTAAATGATGAAAATTCCGGTACTATTTTTCAGGAATCCCGGGATTTTCGAGTTTTTTAATTTGCAATAGTGGCAATAATAGAAACGCCTTATGTTGACCAGTTTTTGCTATATTTCTTTTGTTTATTTAATTTTTAATTATTTTTTTTAATGTCTAGCTAATTATACATACACATAACATCATGCGACAGGCAGTTTTACACACAAAAAAGCAATATATTCGCGATGTTATGGCTCAAACATATGCAGTAAATTGCATTTTTAGTTTTTCTCTCTGACGTCAGGATTTTTTGAAAATTGAATAATATTAGTAATTCAGAAAATGGTAAAAAAAAATAGTGCTATGTACGTAGGAAAACAGTATAGGTATCAAATTAAAGAGAACATTCTGCAGAAAAAGAGAAGATTAAATTTTTTGGTGCATAAGGTATTGAAATTGTCCTTAAAAATGTTATCCTTGCATATCTTTAAATTTTCGGCGGTCGCTGTGGTGTAGTGGTTAACAGTGCGCGCTATCACTCCGCAAAAAAAATATAGAAAAAAGGTTTTTTCTTAACAGCGGTCACCTCTCAGCAGGCAATGGCAAACCTCCGAGTGGATTTCTGCCATGAAAAACAGCTTCTCATAAAAATACAGTCGGCGTAAAACTGTAGGTCCCACCGCTTGGTGTAACAACATCTATTACACTGGTCTACAAATTTCAACTTTTTTTCTGCGAATAAGACGGGACCTGGTGTTTCTGAACGGATTTTTCGTGCTGAACACGAATCCGGGGTCAAAAATGTCCCATCACGTCACGTTTTCGAGAAAAAAGGGGTTGAAACCCCTAAAAATAGCGTTTTTGGCCATTTTCGAAAAATTATAGAGCTGAACCCTGACGTGGTACAAATTTTGCATATATCAGAAATTAAAGGCTAAACCGTGCCCTTTCGAATGAGCCCTATGCCGAATTGATCGCGTGCACCCTTAAAGCAGGGGGTGTATTTGTGTTTAGGGGTGCAGGAAAAATTGATCACAGAAAGAATTTAATCTTAAACGATCATAGAAAATTAATAATGCCAAGGTTTTAACTATATTAAAAGTCGCTGATTACGAATCTGCAGTTAGATTTTAAAAATTTAAGAAATTTATATGGTCGTTTAAGATGAAATTCTTTCTGCGATCAATTTTCCCTGGACTCCTAGACACAAATACACCCCCTGATCTAAGGGTGCATGCGATTAATTCGGCATAGGGCTCATTCGAAAGGGCACGATTTAATTTCTGACATATACAAAGTTTGTAGCACGTCAGGGTTCAGCTCTACAATTTTTCGAAAATGTCCAAAAACGCTGTTTTTAGGGGTTTCAACCCCTTTTTTCTCGAAAACGTGACGTGATGGGAAGTTTTGGACCCCAGATTCGTGTTCAGCACGAAAAATCCGTTCGGAAACACCAGGTCCCGTCTTATTCGCAAAACCCTTGTAGACCAGTGTTATTATTGTTACTATACTTGACATTTTGCAATACTTATTTTGAAAAAAATATATGTTAAGGGCTAATATAAACTCGGAAACGTCCTCGAATATAGTCCTTCTACCTTTATTAGTTTAAAAAAACTAAACTTAAAAGCTTAAAAAAAAATATTCATCCTTGTGAACCCAAAAAATTTTAATTTTTTTTTAATCCCACAGAATTTTCTATCTCACTTGGTACCCATTTTTATTCTACATTGCGCAGAATTTTTTAAAGAATTTTTAGAATTTATCATATCTTTGAAATTATTAAGTTATAGTAAAAAAAATTATAAAACTAAAAACACAGTTTTACTATATTTGGCCCGTAGTATTGGGAGTGTATTGTTTGCTTGGCGTGTTTTTATTTCAACCTGTTTCAATCCTTTTAATCAGATATTTTGGGAAAATTCTAAGTACGGAATTTTTTAAGTATAGCCTATAAAATTACAGGAGGATAAATTGCAAGTTTCAAGTGACTAAAAGTAACCTTGATTTTTTATAATTTTTTTGCTGGCGGTGTCCCGCATTTCCCTCCATACAATGTATGTTCGACAATTTGTTTATATGGAAGAAAATCAACGGTATTTTCTAACTGCATGAAACTTGCATTTTATCCTACTTTAATTAAATGTGCTATAAAACTGCGTACCTCAAATTTTTCTAAAAATGCTGATTAAAAAGGCTTAGGTTTACGCAATTTTTTTTTTGCATTTGTATAATTCTTGTATAAATTATGAAATGCGCATTTAAATGCAGTTGATTAGATATAGATTAGTAATTTTTAGCAAAAAAAAAACCGACTTCAACTCCCATATAAAAAAAATATATATATATATATATCTCATGATCCGCTGATCGGAGCTTAACCAGATTAGTATGGGACCACCTCTGAGACACTACCTTTACGATGCAAAAAGAATTAATCGGTTGACGTGGTCCAAAGTTATGCGGTAACATACATAAAAAAAAAAAAAAAAAAAAAAAGATTCCGACGAACTGATAACCTCCTCCTTTTTTGGAAGTCGGTTAAAAATTAGATAGACTTTTACAAAAAAAAATATTGACTGAACTAGTTAAAATAAGGCGTTTCTTTTATTTCTGCCACTAGTATTATGAACTTCTTTCAGCCACACAATACATACATATGTTGACATAATTTTTTTTTCATAAAGCTTTTTTCTTGATGCCTTAAGTTACTTCATCACATATGTACACACTAAAGTATTGTTAAATGCGTATAAATTTAAATGCTGTCTTTTGTTTTGTTACTAATAAAATATTTTTCAACTTAAATAATAAAGTAGTTTTATTATTAGTAGTATTAATAATATGGTAGAACAGCTTCTCAAACTATATTGATGCAATTTTTTCATGTTAAGTTGTTGGAAAATAATAAATATCTAAATCCCGGGATGAATCCCGGAATATAAAGATTAATATCTCTAGTACGTGCATATTTTTGTATAAATTAAATATTGTGCTATGAAATAAACGCAATTTATCATAAGCTTATAACTAATCTGAGCATTACTTCGTTGAAAGGGATCATCTTAGTTAATATATGGTTCGTAGTTGGGCTTTTAAAGTGAATCCTTCATCTCTCATTTGTCCCGTTAAAGTTTTGTAAATACCGTATTTTTGGGACAAATTATGCATTTGTCCCGTATGGCAGGAAAAAAAATCTGGCAACATTAATTGCGATTCGTGCGCATAAATTCAGGCGCAATCACTACGCTCCCACTTTCATATACATGCATGAAGCTGCACTCGATTTTAGCTGCACATTGTATTTTTGTGACGACGTCATAAAAAGTCTTTTTTAAGTGAGCAAATAAAAAATATTTCCCACGCGCATACATTTCATCTACTTTCGCTACATATTTTCCATACAATCCGCTTTACACGCTGCTTACCTCCATTTGTCATACATAACTTTTCTCCAAGAATGCATCTTGTTCTATCTGAGGTCGCTCGTTTACGCTTTTTTCGGCGTCAAATACACGTTTTCATATTTGTACAAAATCACAGTTTCCTGCTGCAGGCGTTCGTAGAATTATTTTTGTAGTTTTTTTGAATAGTCTTTTTCGTATGTAACTTTCGCAATGTAGCTGCGGGAGTTACCTTTGTGGTAGCCACTGTGGTGTTGTTGTGGCATATAGAACTGCCATTCGACCCCTTCAGGGTGCACTCAGTCACCTCTGCCCCCAACCAAAATTGCCACACTCATGTCGAACTGAGGCAAGTGCTTAGCCCTTTTACTTTTTCGAATTCCACTTTACCTTCCACCCACTCAGCCACCTGTAAAATTTAAACATTTTAACATGCAAAAAGTTTTGCGAAAAGTCCACTAGTGCAGCAGCAATTCTCAGTCGTTGCAACAATTTGCACTGAGTGCATGGTATTATCAACTGTTATTTGTGTGGGTGTGTATGTGTGTTGGCGTTTCGCTATCGCTTTTGTTGTCGCTTTTGAACTTTTTGCATAACTCAGATTTTTCGCCTTTTTTGTGCCTTGACTTCAATTTGTTGTTATGCATAGTTTTATTGCAGCTCTTGTTTTCTCTTAAGTTTTAATACAGTTGTATGCAGAATTGGTTTGCAATGTTGGGTAAGAGTAAAAAAAAAAAATAGATATCCATAGGTGAGAGCGGAATTCGTGCTAAGTGCTTTCCTCGGAACAAAGTGTAGAGGCTAAATAAAAGCTATGGGAAAAATTTAATACTAAAATATTTTTGGCTAAGCTTTTTATTACTTGATTTTACTTCATTAGTACTTCACCTCTTGTTACTACATACATATGTATGTATATGGGGCGTTCCAAACCACACGTGTATGATTTGTTTAAAATTTTTGGGGTTGATGGACAAACTTAAATAATAAATACATATGAAATTTGAACTTCATTAATAAATTTATTCTAAATTTACAGCACAAAAACAAAGACAAATCGATTTAATAGTTTTCCAAGAACGGGGCGATAAAAAAATTTGAAAAAAATCACACATACATACATCAAAATCATCTATGAAAAAAAATATTTAAAAAAAAAATTCTTGATTTATAGTTTTTGAAAATATGCCTTCTAAAAAAAATAAAAAAAAAAATCCAATGGTAGCTCTGAGTATTTAAGCAAAATTTTGAGTAAGTATTCCGGGGTGCACTCTATAATAATTTGAGTTATAATTTTATTTTACATTGAAGTTGAATAAAATGAGAATATTACAAATTTAAAAATTTTTTAAATTTTTTTTCGAATGTTTTTTTTTGAGTATGCAGTTTTGTAGCCCATTTAATTTTAGCATAATAAATTGCAAGTCTTAAGCGATTACAAAACTGACGTTAACGTTTAATTTTCTTTGAAAACGGGATTTTGCGCATTTTCTTCCATAAGAAAAAAGTGCAAAAAGCCATCAGCATAAAACTATTAAAAATCAATGCAATTTTGCAGTAGTTTGAAACTTGCACCTTATAATATTAAAATTGAATGGGCTACAAAACAAAATTTGTAATTTACGCATTTTACTCAACTTCGGTGTAAAAAAAAACATAAGTCAGATTATTGTAGGCTGCAACCCGTAATACTATACTTAAATAGTGTGCAATACTCAAAGCTACCATTGTGATTTTTTTAATTTTTTTATAAAAGAATTTGTATGTGAAAAATTTTTCGAAAAAGAAAATCTTCTAACATTTCTTTACATAGAGAATTTTGATGAGTGCATGTGTTATTTTGTTCAAATTTTTCCTCGCCCCGTTCTCGAGATATTTGGAAAACTATCAAATCGATTTGTTTTTGTGCTGTTAAGTTTTTAAAAATGTATTAATCAAGCTTAAGTTTCATATTTATTTAGTATTTATGTGTATCCATCAACCCTAAAAATTTTAAACAAATCAAAAACATGAAGTTTCAATCTCGTTTATTTTGGTATGAAACGACCCATATATCCAGTCCATCATCTAAATATAATTTTAAGAATGATAATGCTGTTTATAAATTTATTTCCAGCAATTCGACGCTATGTGCAAAGCGGAGGTGGCCTTCTTCATAGCTCGTGCAGTCATTAATGTGAGTACAGATGTGGACGATGCATATTTATAATTAATCCTATATGTAGCAAGTATACTAGCCAATGGAGCGACCTATATAATTTTTTGTCCTTACCCTTAGAAAATGCGTCCAAACTTAGGCTAAATATTGCATTTTTCAACTGAAATTTCATACCGCATACTCGAAAGAAGATATCAGTAATATTGTTTTTCTTAAATTAAGCTAGAATACCTCTGTCTTCGCTAAGTCAAATAGGTCTTCAATCCTCACTTATTATTGCTAAATTTTTTGGACCAATGTATTAGGTATAAATTGAGTAGATCCACTCACTTCTATACCCCCTACTCAGTTTGATTAAACGAAGAGAAATCAGCATATTCATTCCTACAATATTTGGTAAGAAACATAGAAAGAGTTATAGAGCCTAAAGAAGTGACTTCTTTAACATCTACGAGGCTTTCAATAATACCGCCAACGGATCTCGCTGCTTGGATCGAAACCATGTGCCAGGAGCGCGATATTATATCATGCTTGGCCACAATTTCGTGGACATTCCTTTCGAACCCTTCTGATGTACGATCTTTAAATCTCACTATAATAATGTAGTAAGGATGGTACTGTACATTTAAATGGCAATTATAAGTAGTAACGGGGAAATTTTTGCAGTAATGGCCTAGGTGTTATGATTGAAGCGCTTTGTGTACTATCTATCCAATGAAGTTCTCAGTCTAAGCCCACGTACGCAAACCTGATCTTGTACGATGGACATGAAGTTATTAAGTTTTAAAATTTAACAAAACAAAAGTTATGACTGAAACTAAATGTCGTTTTCGTAGTTTCGCTCCAACGAACGTTTCAAAACCAAAGCAGAAATGAGAACAAAACTGTCGAGAACGTTCTCAATTGGAATTATGTAAGAACGAAACCCTGTGGAACGTTCCCAAAGAGAACAAAATGCGAACCATACTTTCGGGAACATTTTTAAGAGAACAAAATGGAATCAAAGGCCTTCGGCACGTTTTGGGAAGGAACTGAACGGGAACAGAAGTCTAAGGAACTTTTTCTCGATTAACAAATTGTAAATTAAAGCTCTAGTAACTATCTGAACGAAACAGGAAGAAATCTTCTCTGAACTATACGCGAAAAATGGAAGCGCTAACAAAACTTTTCACACAGCGTTCATTAGTTTGAAATATTTTAATATTAAAATTAATCCAAAAAAAGCACTGAAAAATATCTACGCGAATCAATTCAACGAAAGACTTAAGGCACGAACTTTGCTTGCACAGAAATCGAAAAATTGTTTCTAAAATGGACAGTTCACCCTAATAATAAACGATGTGGAAGTGGAATGCTCCGGCTTCTTCTGGCTTAGAATTAACGAGAGTGGTTTTCACTGAAACGCTTTTACATCGCAACCCTCAGACGCCCGTCTCACTCTTAACTTTAAGTTCTAAAAACTTGTGTTCTTGATTTGTTCTCTATCAGAACGTTCCCCATGGTTTTGGTCTTATTTGGTCCCCTTTGAAAATGTTCTCGATAATTTCGTTCTCATTCTGTTCTTCTTGAGTACGTTCCCGGAAGTTTTGATTGCATTTGTTCGTAACGAAAACGTTCCCGAACCTTTTGTTCTAATTTTGTTCTCGTTCAAACTGCTCTCAGTACTTTTTTCCCGCTTGGTTCCTTTGTGGAAACGTTCTTGACATTACATTTTGTTCATGTGCGGAACTAAACCAAAATTGGAACGCATTCTCGGTCCCCATTTTGTGTGCAACAATACACTCAATAACTACTTTTATCTCTAACCAAAAAATAAAAATAAAAGTCATTACATAATCACTAATAGTGATCGAAAAACCAGGAACCGAAAATAAACGTCATTATGAAGAATTTTTCTTCTGAAATCATTACTAAATCGTTATTATATCATTTTTATTTTTTAGATAAGTTTTAATTGTTTTTATGCGATCTTTATTTTATCGGTGAAAAGTTATCATTACTCTATGTTTTTTTTCATTTTTGATCAAAAATGTTCGTTATAATTGGATTTTTATTTTTCGGATCATTTTTGCAGATACTGAAAAAAGTCTTTAGAAAAATCAAAAAGTAAAATCTTGAAAAAACGTTGCAAATAATTAGTGATTTCACCTTTCTTAATGCCTAAAATCAAGTACGGTAATCATTATAAGAAAAATAATTTGAAACAACAATTAATCATTATTTTATAATTTAAATTTTTTTGCTCAAATGTAATAATTATTATGCAGTTTTTTTTTCTCAACAGAAATTATTATCATTTGATTTTCAGTTTTTTGCATGGACCGTATCCGTTATGATTTTTGTAATAATAAAAATCATAATTTTTTAAATTATAAAAGGTTTAATTCGGTAATAAAAACGCAGTCTCTATTTATGATAGTTTAAAAAGTAATTCAAAAAAATTTAATGCAATGTAGGATAACAGTAAAGATATTATATAAAAGAAAAAAATCTGTAGAATTATAACAGAACAAATTTTTTGGTTCATAAGGACGAATGGGTATGAAAAAGGTCCTTTACAAATTTTGTCCTTAAATATCCTTGAAAATTTGCAAATATATATATATATTTTTAAATTATGGTTTGCGGTCATCGAATTTTGTCCTGCAAACTTTATTAACTGAAAAAGACAACATTTCTTAAAAGTGCATTTCAATTAAACCAAAAAACTTTATTGCTTTTAAATTCGACATAATTTTCTTTCTCTCAGTATGTGTACCAATACTGTTATGCTACATTGCACAGAATTTTTAAGATACTTTTTTGAATTAGTCATATCTTTAAAATTTCAAAGTCCTTTGAAAAAAATCGTGACGTCAAAGTAAAAACTAAAAAAGTGGTTTAACTATATTTGGCCCATAGTTTTGTGAGTATGTCGATTCTTTCTTGTGTTTTAATTTTTTTTTGCACGGTGTTAGAGATGACCGAAAAAAATAAAAGTCATAAAATAACGATTAAAGATGCCTGGAAAAATAAAAACCACAAAATAACTATTAAACTATGATTTGTATTATAAAATTGATACTTTTGAGCGAAAAAAATTCAAATCATAACATAATGATTAATTGCTGACTGAAATTATTTTTCTCATAATGATTACCATCACTGCTTTTTAGACATTAAAAAGTGAGATTACCAGTTATTTGCAAAGTTTTTTCAAGCCTTTTCGGGATTTTTATTTTTTTGAACGTTCTTGAGATTTTTTCAGTATCTTTTGGGATTTATTGGGACGAATCTAAATTTTTTCGTGGTTGTTTAAAAAATTTTAACGAACCCTTCTGGAAGCTTTTATATTTGTCGTGACTTTCGGTATGTTTCGGGACCTTTCGGGATAGCCTCAGAATTTTTCTCCAGGAACTTTCCACAATTTTTTGTCGCCTTCCGAAATCTATCGGCTTTGGTTGCAGACATTTGTTGAGTTTTAGAAAAATTCTAAGTTTTTCGGGACGTGACCGAATTTTCCCAGATTTGTTATTGATATTTGATGATTTTTCGAATAATTTTAAGTAGAAAGACTTTTTGAAAACACCTTTTCCGGCATTTGGGGCTCTTTAAAGCTTGTCAAAGAATGTTTTTCATATTCTTCGATTCTTGGCATTAAGAAATGCATTAACATTGTACTGCAACCAAGATCACTACTGCGGCGAAGCTAGTGAAGTTGTTGAGACACAAATACGGCTCTCATTTGATGATGATGGATATCGGAACACATTTTATGCGATTGACTGGACGTGCCCATTTTCGTTCTCGATGATCTCATAGAATTTGAAGTTCGTGTCCCTATAGTAAATAAAATTCCGTTGGGCCATAAGCACTAAAGATTTTTAGGAGGGATATATGCATAATATTTTTTAGGTAACAGTGTCTATTCTTCTACTATACCCTGCTAACTATTTATCAAACTAACAAAATTATTGACAAGATGGGTGGTTCTATGGTCATTAGCTAATATTTTTGGAACCATGGACCAAATGCACTTGCCCCATGAATTTCCCTTTGGTTATTGACTCTATTTTAAAAATATTTTTCCAATTGTTTTGGTTTTATTCGGCTATGTAGAAGAATTATAAATTCTAAAACACTTACCTACTCTGAGTTAATAGAAGTTACTTTGCATTCTATATAAGCGTAGTTAAATATGTTCACCTGTTTAAAAATGGGTGACAGTGGTTATTGCGATTGCTGCTTTTTTTTATTTAAAATTAATTTTATGAGTAGTTTCCACTACTATTTATGTAGGTAGATATTTCCGGTTGTCATTAATGGTACTTTTTTGCCTTATCCTCTTTTGCGTTCATTTCGTTATGGGCCATTAAAAGCCATTTGCTGCTGAAACAAAAATAAAATTCAAAAACAAAAGCAAACCAAAAAGAACAACAGCACACTGCTTGTAAATTTTTTTAATTTTATTTTAAATCTTTCTAACCACAATGCGTTGCAACGTTTCCTATTTGGCCCATTATTACGGTTTGTGGTTTTTATAGTCGACTGCATGCACATTTGCTTTCTTCTCTCTTTCCCCCCTAATCCCTTTTCCCCCAATTCAAAGCACTTTTGGGTTCTTTTCGTCAGCACGCGTTGTGTATAATACACAATTGTAAGTGTTTAAATTTTGGTTGTAACTGTGTATTGTATTGCATTTGTATTTATAGTACAAATGTTGCAACAAACTAAAAAAAAAACAATATACAAGGCACCCCCAATGAGGTCAAGTGTTAGTTGCTGACACTTAACTGTACACAAGCGCATGCACATTTTAACATGTCTGCCAGAAAACTAAGGCACATTTGTAGCAATAGGATTAGGTTGCATTCGTGTATTTGTAGTTAGTTTGGCAAATAAGGGACTAACTTTTTCTACACCTTTCAACTGTGATTTTATAAATTTTCCAATTTCTGTAGCAGTAAAAGTGTCTTGTGCCCAACTAGAATTTAAAAGTATATTATAAGCTAAGTATGTATGTATTTTCAAATGCTGCATGCAGTTTAATAGGCATTGTTAATAAAAATGCCCATTTTGTTTTAAATGGTTAAACTCATTTACGAAGCATGGAGAAGGAAATGAAAATGCTTTACAAATTGCTTCAAGTTGTTGAGGGAAGGCATAATAAACTTTTACGGCTTTTGGGTTTCACTTTATTTATAAACCCACAGTTTTTTCGGAGGGATCCCATAAAATTCGTTGTTTAAGGTTGCCAACAAATGGCAAGGATCGTGGCGAATACGCCTCCAAAATGGAAATTGAAACAGCAATTGGCTTATAGGCTCGCAGATCAATGCAACATGCTCCAAGTATGTGCAATTGACAAAATGGAAAGGCCGCTAGGCCCCTCGGCCTCAAACAATGCTCTGGTGCCAGTAATGACTAACTCGAAATGCGTTCGGGAATACCAGAGATCTCTGCTCTATCATTGACAGCATATTCTTAGTCAATCAAAGCAGTTCAAAGCATATAACCTCCCCGGGATTCTTACTTATATGACTTCGGAGATGTGTGCGTTAAAACACAAATTTTGAAGGGTAAATAAAGAGCTACTTGAGAAAACGATACTTTTATTACATACTATAGTGTACGACATCGGCCTATAACGATTTTATTATATCTATGTATACATATGTGGCATTCTTTCTCATATCGGACACCAAATTGGTGTCACACTTTCGATTGGCTTCAAACCTCCCGTTATATGGGATGTGGGCGTGGTTACTGCCCGATTTTAAAAAACTTCGGCCATTTGGTATGCTGTGCCAAGGCCAACAACTGTGCCAAGTTTGGGAGAAATTGGTGCAGCGGTTACCTAGATATACACATGTAACCATAAGTGGGCGTGGCTGCGCCCATTTTCCAAAAATGAATAATATTCATATTATCGTCTAAAATTTATTGTAAATATCAATTTTTAGTGCATAATCTTTTTAGTTACTAAAATATCGCAGTTTTCGTATATCTGAAAATTGCCGTTATATGGAAAGTGGGCGTGGTTTCAGCCCGACCAACCAACCTTGGAAACCTACATACCAAATTTCGTTGAGATATCTCAATTTTTACTCGAGTTATCGTGTGCACAGACGGACGGACGGACATCGGAATCGACGGAATCGAGATCTCTTTTCATTCTGATCATTTATGTATGTATACATTTGTCTATATCTATCTCAATTCGTTTTTGCTGTTATAAACAACCGTTATGTGAACAAAGTTAATATACCCTTGTACTCAAGTGCGCTCGGGTATAAAAACGAAGGCTCCAGTGAATTACGAACACTAAATGCAAGTTTTCAACCACTGTTCTCTTTCAATGGAACTGGAAACTCAATGTGCAACGCGATCCTGGGCACAACTTTCGCTGTGCTTTAAGGATTGTCCAAAGGTTACCTATTAAATAAAAACCCTTAAGTGGGTGCAAAACGAACTGGTGAAGGTTTTCATTATATTTTATAAGGGAAATTTTTGTTTTCATATTCTGTGTTTAAAAATTTACCTATGAAAAATGCAGAGCTGATTTAAAGGACAGCTTAAGAAATAAAGGACAAAAGGCGTTCTTTATTTTGAAAAAAATTATAAAGGACAGGGGGTTAAAATAAAGGACTGTTTTTTTCAAATAAAAGACGGATGGTCACCGTAGCCATACAGCGCTTAAAGCAATCGACTTATTGAGGGAAACATTTGATAAACGTGATATTCCTCTAAATGGACCAGTCGATTGACCACTGAGATAGTGCGATTTTACGAGTCTAGATTATTTTCTTAGGGATCATGTGAAGTCGAAACTCTGGACATTTTGGAAGTAAGAACTACTGTTGAAACTCTGGCCTCCACTGCTTGATATCGCTATAGCTTTTAAATTTTTCTTTATAACCAATTAATTTTTTTTGTTTGAAACTACATAATCTCAGTATATTTTCTTCTATTATGCGCCTCTAAAAAAATACCCTTTATGCTATCAAATAATTTCATAAGCAAATGCTCAATTTCATGTTCGTTCTTTCATGTGAGAAATGATATTAACTACCCCATGTTTTACAAATTTAAATTTGCATACTTTAGGGAGCAAAACTATAGCAGCAATGAGCTGATCTCTAGCCGAATAACTAAGCAGAATGGCATAGAGAATAGCAGAAAATTTAATTTATTTTAGTTAACAAAAATAAAAGTTCAATATTAAGATGTCACCGTGCTTTAAATGAAAACAAAACTAAACGACTTCAAATATTTTCCACATATTTTTATACTCCGTTCCTTGCAACCCCTTGCCATAAATCATTTATTTCATTCAAAATGTTAACACTTACTACCGAAAACACGTAAAAGGAACCACAGAGGTACAAGCTACAAACATATTACATTCATACATTCAACTGTTGGACTAACATATTTTTGATGCACTGCCTTCCTTGTTCCGCGCTTGCGAATCACTTGAAACCACGCTTCCACAGCCGCAAATCATCGACATCATTCGTTTCGTTGGCACTCTGGAAAACATTGTGAACACAGCGCACAAACAGGTAATTGGCCACAGGCAGGGTGAAAGTGAAGAGGGTGTGCAGATCTAATTTTGTAGCGCCAACCAATACCTCTACCAGCCAGGCGATGAGTTCAAAGCTCAGCACAAACATATTGATGGTAAGCCATGGCGTCATGTGACCCGGCGAAACCTGTGTGTGTATGGGTGATTGAAAAAAGATAGGGGGAAGAGAAAAAGGTTGTTATATGAAATATGAAAAATATGTAGGGGAAAAAAAGAGAAAACGAAAAAAATGTTGGTAGCATTGTGTTGGGAAATTTCGCTCGTATGTGTTTGTATGTGTGTTGGAACAGCGGTGGGTGCTTGCAACGTATATGACAACGCAAATGGTGGTTATGAGTGCAGAAAAATGGAAAGGTCACTGCAAAAAAGATAAAGGAGATGAAAAGTAAATGCGAAAAAAATTGCAAAACAATTTTTTGCGCTGCACCATTGAGGTAAAACCGTTCATACCGAGCAATGGCAAACCATCGAATGTACTTCTGCCATGGAAAAGTTTCTCGTGAAAAACGACATATCTATGGTCAAACATTGACAACTCATACCAATTTTTTAGAAACTAAATTATTTTCATTGCATTATTAAAATTTTTTATATACATTGCTGGAAAATTAAATAAGGACGCGACATTTTTATAGAAGTAAAAATCTAAAAAATTTGATCACAAAGTTGAAAATTTAGATGAAAATTTTTCAGAATTTTTATAATTTATGTTTTTTGAAATATGAATTTGTATGGGTTTTTGTTAGATAATGAGCTATACTTTTATAAACAAACAAAAAATATTAAATGAAGAAAAAAATATTGGAAAAATTTGTTAACCTATTTATTTTTCCAGCACTGTACATAATTAAATTTCGTGAGTTTTCAATACCATTTCACCATTAATATGTGTCATTCTGAGACGTCGTAACATTGTAGGTTAGGGTGGTCCTTAAGATGTCAACACTTTATATTGTGTAGGACACGCACCCCTGTATCTTGTTCCACGTATGTACATAGATGCAAAATAAGGACATACACAAAAATGTCAAAATTTTAAAAAAGTTTTAGGAGTTGGTACTGGGGTTTGAATAATTTAAATTAAAAAAAATCGCAAAAATCTGCGTAATATTTACTTTAAATCTAATACAAATTCATTAGCTTGCTGATATAGCTGGTCAAAATCAAAATTTTTGGGATTAGAAATATTAATTTTTTTCAAAACCCTGATGGCGAGCTCTAAACTTCTTTTTCATTTTTAAATTTTCTTTTATGTCTATTTTGTATGTAGAACAAAATAAAGGGGGTCGCATGCTGTTGATACTCGTACGTTAAGGACCACCCTACTGTAAGTACCTCCATTTGAGTAATAACTAAAAGAAGCACACTAAAAATCGTAGGAGCAGCTGCCATCGACTTTATTTGAAGGGCAGCTACACTATACACCACGAGCGCATCAATCAAACTGAAAGGTGGTTAAGTAAATTCGCGCCACTGCATTCAACAACCGAAAACACATCGATGGTTGTGTTAACTGGAAAACGATACAAGTTCCCACTATGTAATGTAGCTACATACAGTGGGGAGCACAACTGAGTAAATGGTGACTTTGTTTTTAAATATTTGCAAGGTTCTTAATGATAATTTTTTTGTTATCTTTTTATAAAAATATGATTCATGCTTTAACCAAAACCATATAGATCACAATTTCAAACTATATACAAAGCTTAGCAAAATTCAAAAAAATTTCATTGAATTTTAACATTTTCATCAGAAGTTTTAAAAAAATGTTTGGGTATGCGGTTTTAAAGCAAATTTTAATGAGTCTTTATGAGCTCTGCACAAAGTTTGAATGGGTGCTTAATATGGTTTTGGTTTAAGCATGAACCATATTTTTATAAAAAAAATAACAAAAATACTAAAAAAAAATCATCATGTACTCATTTTTTCTCTCCACTGTATGTATGTACATATACGCAGCCGCGTACATACATACTTATTCGGTTAAGAGTATCTATGTATGTGTGTCAGTAGGCAACTCTTGGCTATTGGCCTATATTTACGAGCACCGGCAATCCTGATTGCAATATTTCTACATATATGCAGGGCAAATTTGCAATTCAAATGACATTTGACAAGTTGAAATGCCAACTAAATGAATATTCATAGCGCGGCAATGCATGTCATGTGTGCACTGCAATAAGCTTTTATACATACATACATGCAACAGACAAATGTGCCCGAATGTAGACAAATATTGAAATAGTGTGTGAGTTTAAAATTTATGAACCAAATAATAACGCAATCCCTGCATGATTATTGGCAAATATTTAGATAAGGGATTGTTATTTAGAAAAGTAAATTTCTGAGCATTTTTTTTTCTTCTTTTTCTTTTGAACCACATTTATAGATTTTTATTAAGCGTTTTGAGGGACTTAAATTGTGGAATTTTAAGCCAATTTGTCTAAAGCGCTAGCTAATCCCATGTTTTCATCCTCCTTACAGTGTGAAAATACGACAAAGTTCAATACGACAGAGAAGTCTCTCTCTCTCACACACCCGATCCGCTCCGCCCTACAGGCCGAGAACAGAAGGCTCCTTAGTCACAGAAACTTCTTTACCATTTTTGGTATCAGAAAGGCTTTACGATTGTACCTCATCTGATTTGTAGTTCCCTCTTAGCTGAAATGAGGACCTCTTGTCCAAGAGAGGTAGCCAGAAATTCTCTCACTCCTTGTTGTTCGGTGACATTAACCCTAGTATGCCCTTTCTAGCTTTGTAGCCAGTTTGCCAGCCACGCTGCTGTAGGTTAATACAAAACAACCTTATCTCCTTGCTGTTGCCTTCTTAAATCGACGGCATGACCTCTACGTCTATTTGAAACACACAGAGCGGTCGATAAGTCTAAATATTAGACTGACAAAAAGCTTCCGACAAAATACACCTCCATCGACCCTTCTGCCATCCCTTGAGACTATGCAAGTTGTTGGGAGCCAATCTACATAAATGGTGCCAATCAAAATGTGCAGTAATTAAAGTTATCAGCTACGAAATCGCAGCTTCCAAAAATTGTATGGTATTCAGACAGCGATCTAGTAAGGAAGCTTGATCTATGGGAAATTTCCCACAGTGCCATACTGTTTGCAATAAAACCTGCCCATCCCACACGCTCTAGCTAACGTAGTAATTTAAAACAAGCTCCACCCAAAAAGGAGTCCGTAGAATGTTATGAATTTGTATATAAAGGATCATAAAAGAAAACGTTGCTTTATGAGCGAGGCAGCTCGTGTTTTAAAAAGGGCAGGAGTTCTAAACAACTGAAGAAACCCTCACTATATTCTCAGGGGAAAGCAATCGTTCTGCAATGCATCCAATAGAAATATTGAGGTCCAATACCTGTATAATACCTGTAAATGAACGCGCTTTCGCACTCTATTGTGACCCTTTTGGTAGAGAAAATTTGTTAGATATCGATTTCTCCTGGCTCTTTTGATATTAAGAAAAGAAAAAAGTTCTGGATATTTTGACAAAAAAAAAACTTGTTTCAAAACTTGTGTATGCCAGATTCATGCAGCATACGACATGTGGCAAAAACGCAGATTTTAACTAATTCTAGAGTTCCAGAGAAAGAAAAGTGAAATAATGCAACACTACGCCGAAAAAAAACTTTTTTAAGTCGAAAAAGTTAAATTTTTGAAAAAATATATATTATTCTCAATAGTTCTAGAGCTCCTGAGAAGGAAACGGAAAATTGCTCATAATTACGCGTTTTTTCCTTAAAAAAGATAAATAAAAAAAATTTAAAAATTTAAACTATTCCGAGTGGCTTTTTAATAGTCCTAGAGTTCCTGAAAAGGAAAAGAAAGTTCTGCAAAATTACACAAAAAATATATTTTTTAAGAGGAAAAAAAAAAATAAAAAAATATAAAATAAGAAACTTTAAACTGTTCTGAGTAGCTAGCTTCCCAATTGTTCTAGAACTCCTGAGAAGGAAAAGGAAAGTTCAACAAAATTATGCCGACAAAAACTTTTGTTTTTTAAAAAGCCGAAAAAACTGAATTAAAAAAAGAAAACGGTTCCGAGAAGTTTTTCAATAGTTATCGAAATCCTAAAAAGGAAAAAAGGGTTACGCAAAATTACGCAAAAAATATGTTTTTTTTTTAATGAATGTTTGAAAAAATATACAAATTAAAACTAAGTAGCTTTTCATTAGTTATAGAGTTTCTGAAAAAATAAAAAGAAAATTCCGCAAAATTACGCCAAACAAAACTTTTTTTTAAGTAGAAAAAGTAAAAGTTTTGAAAAAAAATAATTAGAACTGTTTTGAGAAGGCTTTCAATAGCTCTAGAGTTTCTGAGAAGGAAAAAACGGTCTGCAAAATTACGCCGAAAAAGAACATTTTTTTTTAAATCGAAGACTCAATAGTACTAAAGTTCCTGAAAAAAGCAAAAAAAAAGTTCTGCAAAATAACACAAAAAAAAATTTTTTTTAAGTCGAAAAAGTGGAATGTTTGAAAAAATAAATAAAAAATTCAATAGAAAGCAGTTCTCGCTTCTGCGAAAACCCTGTGAAAAAATGCTAACCCAATCCACTTCACGATTATATGTACGTATAAGCGATCTGCTTTACAAAGCATGCATACAATCACTAGGAATATCTAAAATACCTGTTCGCCTACGTCTTCATTATCTTTTTCGAAATCGCCTTTTTCAAGAAATTAGAATGTAAAAAGAAATATAGAGCTATCCCAACTATCACTGAACAGGCCAAAGTAAAGAGAAGGAGTTAGGCCTCTCTCACAAACACATTATGGAGACTCAACTTGGGAAGTAACTAAAGTTTAAGCATTCAAGTAACTGACACCCATTGCCAAGTATTTAATCGTACTCTTCGAGTTCAATTGTCCGAGCAATTGCAATTCATTCGCCTTGGAGGGGCAATTTCTAGGATAGCAGACACTTTTGCCTGGGAACTGCTCACAAAGTCACGTAAATGAACACCACATCACAGTAGATTAGAGAAAACTTCCGCTGCAACTCTCAGCGCTCGATTTCAGAAAAAAAACGGTGTATAAAGTAACTTTATCCATGAAGACATATCAAATTCCCACCTCAGTTGGCTTTCGCCGCGCTAAGGTCTTCAAAAAGAGAATCATAACCGCCAGAAAAAAAAAATTAATTTACTCACATTTATTACGGCATACCAGAGTAGTAGCCAAGCATTGAGCATCACTAGCGAACCGACAAGGCGACATTTGCGCAACACTGCATATGGTATGACATAATATTTGCGTGAACGCCACATGGAAACGCGCTTGCGGCCACCCCAATAGAGGCTGGTGAACTCGCTAAGGCTATAGAACTGCAAATCAAAGCAAATGAATTACAAAATGCACCAAATTCCTCCTAACGCCTTGATCTTTTCACTCACCGTGCCCAGCGTGCTGATCGCCAACACCACCCAGTAGATGACCGGAAACCATTCGGCTTGACACAATGAGCTCTCCATTAGGAAATTCTTGATTGCGCGCCAGCGTGTGCCCGGGCAAAAATGCCATATTGAGTACACGTCGCAGTCGTCGACGGCAAGATCGAATTTGTGGCGCAAAAAGCGGCAAAGCTTCTTATCGAAATGTGTGAATTTATACATTTTATTTGCTAGAAAACTTTGAAAATTCTGAAGATTTTTAATTTATTTCAAATTATTATCTTTTTCTTCAAACTTCGAACTTTCTGCAAATGTGCAAATATTGAGCACAATATTTTGCTTTGATTTCTAACGTTATATGTTAGTATAATAAATTTGGAAAAGTTGAGCGTTTCACGTTTAACAAATCTAAAAAAAAAAAAATTATGATTGACGTTTTTTCTGAGCAAGTAAACGTCATCAGTGAAAGTAATGTGAATCATGATAAAAACACAGCAAGGTATAACCGTTCTCTCAATTTGTCGGCCATGATTTTTTTTTGAAGTTTGCCAACATTTTAAAATCATATAAAAGTGAAAATAAAAAATTTAAATTGTTTGAAATTGTTGTTGCTTGAGATTGAAAATGAAATTGTGTGTGTGAGTTTGTGAGTAAATTTAAAAATTAAATTGTTTGGAAACGTCAAGAATTTTAAAAGTGCCTCTCAGCGGTTCTACCTTACTATATTTTTATCATGATGTGAATGGCATTTGAGTGAAATGGAAAAAGAATGAGATTTATTGAATAGATTCGCATACGAAATTTTGTTGCCAGATTTTCTGTGGTTAACTCGAAGCTCGTAATTTATTTGCAGTTCTCAGAAATTTGATTATGTTGCCTATCTAGAAAAGTTATCTCGGATTTAGGGAATATACTTAACAACGTCTGGTATAATATCAGTCTTATAGTGTGACGTATCAAAAAGCTTCAACTGAAATTAGTTATTACCCATATCATTGATGGTCGTAAAATAAGCTCTTTTCACCAACACATGTTACATTAATACAAATGATATCTTCTATCGAATAATAGAATAAAAGGTCTGACACAGATTTGTTCGCAATCCAGTCTATCCTGTATTTTAAAAGGCTATACTTATTAGCGCCATTTCTGGTTATAAGGCATGAAGTATATAATTAGTAATAAACAATGTATTAAAATTCAACACAATAGGGCCTTTTGGTCCATTCCGTGATTTAAAGCAAGTGTACATACTGCGAGTTGTGAAACTCCTTGCTTAAACACAGCCAATCCCTTTTTGGAAGATTAAACATATGCCCAGATTATATACATATCTTCTTTGCCAAGCCGAAATTCAATATGCCTATAGTCCGAGATCTAATCCTCAGTCACTCACCAATTTAAAATTGACCACCTCGCCGGGACTTGGATGGAGTTAGGTCAATAGCGTCTTGCCTTCTAGAAGTAACAAACGTGAGTTTGGTACACACATTCAGAATGTTTAGCCCACAAGACAATATACACCCAAAAGCTAGTTCCCACTTGCCTTGCATTTACTGGCCAAGGTTTCTCATGAAATATGATTACCCGTCCGCTCAAAGAATGAGAAGCCGCCATAGATTGAGGACACTGATTTCAGTAGAAGAAAGCTTCATAAACAGTGCTACCTTGGGAGAAATAGCAGCAGGAGGATTTCCAGCAGCCACACAGGTGGACTTTCCTATCCTGCGGTCGTTAGCAGGTCTTCTCACCTCATACCCCTTGTAAGCGGAGGGTCCAGTTCCGGCTCTGAAGAAGAAGGAAGCGGCAAAGCTACTCCCCTCTCGTCCAGGATGCGCTCCTTCGCGTAAATACTGAGAGTTTTGATCTCTGCAGAATCAGTGGCCCTGCCACTAGTGCGGGTGGATTTCAACCCGTGTTGTTGCCACCTGTAGTACAATCCTTAAATTTATCAATAATATGGTTTCTAGCCAGAGTGGAGTTTAGGCCTGCTGCCAGGGTAGTTGGTGCTTTCTGAGAGTATTCTGCCCGTCATCTTCCTTATTCCTGAGATGCAAACATTCTGTTGAGTCACGCATACCGGTGGATTTTAAACGCCTTTTGCGACAAGCATTGCATACAGCGGGTATACTCTAAGCACTCCACTCCACATTACCATACGTCGCATAGGTAAAAGATCGTTTGTTACTTTCGGCAGTTTTGGGAAATCTCGATTGAAATTTAGAATGCAATTTCTCAAAACTGCGACGATAGATTTTATCTGAATTACTTTACCTTCATTTGTTATTGCTAATTATTTTTGGGTTTATGAATGATTTCTTTAGTAAAATTCTGTCGTGTGCGCCATCCGTCAACAATTTTGCAGCCACTTTGTATGACACTACAATTAACGACACTTTCTACTCAATTTCTCGAAAACGAATGGAGGTATCCAAAAATTAATAACGCCATTTGAAAGACCTTGCTTACTTTCAGATGATTGGATTCATTACCAAATTTGTTCTAAATTAACGATAAAATTGTAGTAGTACATCGGAAACTAAAAAAATATCCAATTTAATATATAAAAATAGTCAAAATGGCGCTTACGGCAATTTTTTACCTTTACCTTTACAATTGTCATTTTTCATTATCATTACCAGTACCATTACAATTACCATTGCTATTGACATTACCATCTCCATTATCATTACCAATACCATTACTAGTACCATTTCAGTTACCATTACCATTACAATTACCATTAATTTTACAATTACAATTTCCATTACTATTATCAGTACCATTACCATTAGCATTGCCTTTACCATTACCATTACAAATGGAAGTTGTATGGCGCGGGCACTTATATGCCTATACTGAGTTTATTTTCTTGAAGTTAATCAGTTAATTAATCCACTTACCATTACGTTTAGTTATAAACTCTCTTTGCATCAGAATACCTATCCTATTGACATGAAAATCCATATACTTATGTGCATATAGGTACCTTTCTTATAGTACCAAATGTAGGGGCAAGTCCGTTTTACTAAACAATGTACTCGGGTCTAAATTAAAAACATAATAGATAAGGGGATAAGGTAAAAGACAATACTTATGCTAGAATTTAGTAATCAAGCTCACAAAACGACAGACGTTTATGCAGAAAGTATAATTTTGCGAAGTTGATGGAGGTAGGAGCAGCGACAAATGTAGTATAGTGACAGTTTAGAGGTCATCTCACCACAATTAAGGAGTTTGTTAGCTTTGTTAGCCTTTGAAGAACAGATTGGCCTCATAGCTTATTCCTGCCTCAGGTTTAAGTGTAGGACACACATACATATGTGTGCTGAAGGGACATATAGTGTCCGTTAGTAGAAGCTAAATATGTAGGTACCCAATAGACTAAAAATCCGATGCTGTATAGCTTCAGTTACTGAGGATGCTATTATTTGTTCTCAAAAGTTATTTACTTATTGTTTCAAATCAGCTCAAAGGGATACACAAATACATGTTCTTATCATGGTAATAAGGCTACAGTTGATAACCTTTCCCAAGCTGTATTTACAACGAAAAGCCGTAATTAATACCCAAACCCAGATGAGTCCATCCATTGACTCAACAAGTATAATCGTATTTTCTATACACATACATATGTACATATCTATATGTACACAAAGTTATAAGCGCGAACAAATATGTACTTTCAACCAGTTTCGTTTTCGTTAGCACCAAGCATAAGACTCTGATTCATAAAAAGCTATTAATGTAAAAGCGTTCACCTTGGTCAAATGTTGTATTATACCCGGTGATATAGGTTTAACCGGCTGTTGAACTGTATGCCAATGACAACAATAACAAACAGCAGCAGCAGCAGCAGCAGCTACAAAAGTTGAAAAACACTAGAAAATGCAATGTAAGTGTGTAAGAATGGCTGTATGTGTTTCTATTCGAAAAGTACTCACGTGCAATAACATCAAAATGCCATTAATTTTCTCACGTTAAACTGCCATTTTCATTCTACACCCATTTGTTGAATGGCCATTAGCTCGCCAATGCGCGCAAGTATGCACATTATGTATGTATGTGTGTTTACCTTTGCACATAAAAATGTACATATCTACGCCAAAGTATGTATGTGTAGAGCGCGTATATGTAAGTGGCTCGCAAACACACCCATACGCACTCGGATTTTCACCTACGAGTATACGCTTTGCTACTCTTCCAACAACCACAATGACGCCAAGGACATCAAAAAAAGGGTGGCTTTGGTGCAGCTAACGTCAATAACGGCACATTAAACTCTTTAATTACAGTGAAAACCCATTAGAAATACATACATACATCGCATGGTGTAACTATATAACATATGTATGTATGTATGTATGTGCTAGCTCATATGGATAAGGGTATCATGAGTTGCAAATTGTTGGGGGCTAGAATGTAGGCGAATAGCTCAGTAATCAACTCACAACAAGCTCAGATTCAGCAAGTAAATACAGATATCTATGTATATATGTACGCGGTTTTAAATGCGAATGGCAACATACGTTATATAATCCATAACCGATTATTTGGAGGAGTAATGAAACACATAAATTTAGAGTAAAACCATTTATTTTTTGGAGGCTATACTGGCATCATCTTCCAAAGCCATTTATTGATCTTAAATAACTTAGGTACTTAAAAATGTAATTCACATTCGACAGCTGATTGGAGATTGTAATTACTAATTACTACCAGTGGTTTTACCCCTTTTTTTGTTAAATGTCGAGATCTAAAACTATTCAGCTAGAGAATCAAATTTATCAGCTGATTAGTCATGCTAAAGATAGTATTTCAATTATTGAGAGAGGAAATGATAGTTTTCTTTATAGTAAAAATCGAGTCCGATACGCCAAAACTTGCTGGAATGAAAGTTAAAATATTGACATAAACAAGAGTGAAAATCTCTCAACTGGGCCATCCAATTTGGACGGTCAAGATTTTTACACACAAATCACTTTATTCACTCTACAATTATAAAAAATTGTAACTTGAGCAATTTTGCAAAATTCGAAGTTTTACAAGAGTTATTGTTATTAACTTTTTTTGATGAATTCAGTAAATATTTATTATCCACTAATTCAAAGTATGCATCTTGCTAATTTTTTTCATGATAATACTTAATTAGACACGCTTTAGCCAAATTGTTTAAATTTTTCAAATAATCATTATTTTGTAAAAAAAAAAAATATTATTTT